CCCCCAAAAAAAAAAAAAAAATTAAAAAATTGAAAATACACATTTTTAAATTGCTATTTCAATGTGGAATTTCTTCAGTCCAACTATTTAAAAAATCTATAACAGAAATGACCAGCTCCACCCTTTTCATGTTAGAATCCACAAAAATGTCCCACACGACTATACACAAATATTTTGTTTATGCTTTTACAAGTTCAAGCAGGAAACAAACACGGTTGGCTAAAGTTTCTTTCTCATATCATATTTTAATTCAGTTATGAATATCAAATTTCTGTACATCAGCAAAGGTAAGATAGAGCTTCGGGGTTGCCTGAAACACTTGTTCGAGGGATACACATACATGTATATATAAAAAGATGTATTTCATAAACTGAAAACATATAAAATTTGGAACCAGTGTATCAGCAACCACGCTACACAGATAAAAGATAATAAGTATATCTGGGAAATTACAACAATGTCTTTGGTTTACAGTATATGTTATGATACATGCTCTGCTGCAGCCCTGCAAAATCATCTTGAATCTTCGTTATTATATTTGTAAAAGATCTGGGGTTCTATGAAACACGCACACAAAAAAACCCCCACATTAGAAGGACAGCTGACAGAAATAGAAAATTTTTTGAACAATGAACACAAGCAAAACAGATTGCTGATGAGCTTGAATCTTCTGACTAAAATGTGAACATTATTTTTAAAAATTAAATTTACCAAGAATATTTTTTTTCGCCTGGACCAAAAGACTTCTATAAAATTGAACTTGTCTCATTTGTAAAAAAAAAAAGGGAAGGAGCATTAACAGGTCAAAAGCCCATTCTTGATAAATTTTGCACTTTGACTTTAAGAGAAAGTATTGCAATCACATGATCACAATCTTTCGAAACAGCTGACCAATGTGATGCTAATGTAGGCCTCGCACAGTCGTCCACTTATGAAAATAAAGTGGGTCAAAACTGATCTGAAACAGGAACTTGTAAGAGTATTTCATAGAAATGTGAATAATTCTCAAATGTACAGGTATATCACAAAAGAAACATATTGTCTGCCAAACTGACAGTTTAGTTGTTTTGTAATATCCCACTTAATCTCCAGATTCATGAAAACCAGATACATTACTCATCAAGCATTAACAGTTTCTAAAGCTGTAGGTGAGGAAAAGATAATGTTAATCTTTACATTGGAAGACATAGAGGATAGCCCTGAATTCTTTGCGGTACCATATGAAGAACAAAGTCTAGAGAGTAGAACGCATGCTGAGTGGTACCACGAAAAAGAAATTTAGATTCTGAGCAAAGATATATATGAACCGTAATGCTAAAAACCCATGTGGAGAACCTATTTGACAAAGAACCTCACTGAACGAGTTATAATAGAAAGTAGAACAGGAAACAAAATAGTAATATTTTAAAAGAAAGAGCACAAAACTCCAAATGAGTCTGTTTCCACCCATAAATATACTCACCAAGACTTTAAAAAATTACAACGGACACAAAACAGTTTGTGAATAAATTTGACCTTCAAAGAGTAATTTTCGGGGTAAGACAGATATAATAATATAGCTAGAGGGAAACTGATAAGCACATATAAAGAATTCAGACAGCACACTACACAAAGATGGCAACTCTAACGGAGAATCCTGACAAGAAACTATGGCATTCAGAAAGTATATTTGACCGCATCCATGGCTATTACAACAGAAATGTTGGCTATGGCTGGAATAATATGAAATATTGGAAGTCTCCCAGAAGTGAAAAAAAAAAAGTGTACTTCCTTTCTGCACAAAGTGTAATTGAATCCCAATAGAGCTCAAACACACTTCAACTTCAAGGTACTCTAAAGCAGCTGAGTAAGAAAGAAAACTATATGATGAAGACAATGAGTACAGCAATAAAGCAGGCCAATTTGTGTGAGGATAGAGATGAAGAGTATAATAGTAATTGAGAGATTAAAGAGGAAACCATTGTCTCATCATCACTCCATGGGAGGGGTTTGTGAGAAACTTAGGGACAGGAAAAAGAAAACAAGGGACAGCTGCTGCCTATAGCTAAACACAACAATGTTGTCTCATATAATAAGTATTGTAACTAAAAATCAAAATTAACTAAACACGTCTAAAGGTTATCAATAATTGAATCATTAAGAAGGATGATCTTCCTCTGTCATAGAATCAAAGTAAAAGTGCAAAGAAAGATCTTAAAGGGGCTATGTACAAAGTAAAACGTAATTAAAAGTTAAATCTACTGGCAATCCTTCATGAACAAACCCCCCCACCCCCCCAACCAAACCCTATAATAACGACAAGAAACTGGAAATTTCTTGAGTTCAACAACTTCAAAGAAAAGAAACACCAACAAGGAGTGATCTAAACCTGAAATACACTAGCAGGAAATGGATTAGTTTAGTTTTAGTAGAGGTTTTACGGCGCTCGCAACTGCATAAGGTCATATGAGCGCCAGGAAATGGATGATAGAAATGATCACTAAACGACCACTTCAGTATGTCAGCCCTGGCTAGCCCAACCAGTAGCGAACAGGGCATAGCTTTGGCCTCGTTCTAAAGCTGTTTGCACTGCTCTTCCCAAAGCAGCCTGGAGGGTGCTCTAGTCATTGTCTATACACCTACTATTTACACTGGCCATAGAACATTTCTTTTTCTCCTGACCTCTTCGTTCGGCCCTTTGTTACATTTGCAAAAATAAAACAAAAAAGCAAAGGCATTTGGTTCTACTTTTAGGCCAGCAAAAATTGTTTTTCTGGGGTTAACACTTCACAGCAAAATAAAAGAAAGAGGTGTCAAATTCCTCTGTGAGGTCTCTGTCGTTCGGTGGGAGTGAGAGAAAGGAAGACGTTATGGACATGAGTCCAACAAGACACTCATGCAAATACAAGACTGGTATTTATGTCACAGGTACAGGTAGGAGTCAACTCAATGTTAGGACGATATTTGTTGTGCTATGTACTGTAGCTAAAAACAACAGAGTTCAACATTCAGGATATAGATTGTAGAATCATATATTTTTCCCAAGCACACATTCAACAGTCTGCCTTACTTCAAGAACAAAAATTAGTTTGAGGAGGGACTTGGAAAAAAAAAAACTTTTTAATTCATTCAATTGTCAAAACACTTAGCTTTGGCTGAGCTCTCTTTCCACAATACAGGAGGAATCAAGAAAAAAAATTAGCTTGCTTGTTGTCAACAAAGAATCTTCAGGCCAGTCTCTCTACATATTTTATCTCTATATTTTAAACATTTGATGAATCAATATTTTGTTCAATGTTTTTCCAGTCCTGTGGAAAGTGACAAATAGGCAAAAACAAAGCAACTGCAAAATTTGCTCTTCTTCAGCAGGTCAATAAACTGGCAGTTTGGCTGATGACAATGGCTCCACCTAAACCAATAACTATTCAACAGTGTATTGGCCACAAGTCTGTTGTCATTGTTTACTTTTGGGGACTAGCACGCAAGATGGAGCTTGTAAAGCTAGAAAGAATGCAACGTTTTTGGGGTTTTTTTGTACAGGAAATTGTTGTTTTACACCACTGTTTCCCCCCCCCCACTTCTTTCAATTGATTTTCTTTGTGTGGTAACAAACCCAGTCCACCCCAACTTATGGTTCCAAAACCCAGGACAGCAGTTACTCAAAGCTGTCCCCAGACAATAATCATTTTGATATTTCCTTCCACTTACCACATGGCCAGAAACAACTGTCTATCAACCTGCAGGAAAAATCTTTAAATTTTGTTTAAATGAAAAGAAAGTGTCTGTGACTTTAGGCACCACCCTGTTTGAACATTATCTGCAGAGTTGAAAAACCCACTACCGATGGGATGGTTAGGAAACACAGCACAGGCATCAACGTACACACTCTCAAGAATGCGTAAGTTTTCTGTCATAATAAAAGAGTTGTATAAGTACATGAAGACAGAGTTAGACAGAGTACGCGTTTATGAGAACAATAAACTCCATATTGTATGATTTGTACATTTGATTAATGACAATACTTTTGTGAAATAGTTCGATTACTTGGCATTTTGTTTAATACAGCAACAATGGAAGATAACAGGCTTAACTGCTGTATTTTTTATGATAACAAAAGTGACAGAATAGTATTCCATATGGTGTGTGTCAAGACTCCGTACAATCAGTAAAATACCATTCACATGTCAATAATATAGGCTGATAATATATTTGTTCTTTACGTGGGCAAGGTATGTACATAATTTTGGCTCTACGGTGAGGACATAACAGCTGTAGCATTGATTACCCTAGATAAGTTTAAAACAATTTTGAGCGGACGAATCAGACACAAAGAATAGGAAGAAAGGTAATAAAGTGTTTTTTATGTCTGCCACACAATGCAGTGGACATCTAGCTCTTCAAAGTACAGAATTCTGCATTATTCTAAGCAAAAATTTAGGATATTTTAGAGCACATTTATTACTATAAGAAATCAGGTCAGAAAATCAAAAGTTTGAAGTCATTTGGTGATAGACGATTTTTCTACCTTATCACACAGAGAGGCCCATTGTACCTGCTTAAAGGACTACTTTCATCAAAGTTATGTGTATTTGAGAGACACTCTCAAGAGAATGTAACAATGACAACAGCAAAAATGAGGTACACGAACCTTAACCTTCATGTACCAGGGGAAGGGTCTTCTCACAAATTAAACATGGTTTACAAATAGATGCGTTTACATGGGTATAGTACGTATATATAACATGCAAAATGTGTATGGCACTCTTGCAAGCCCTACGAAATCAATCCCCCGAGAAGTGTGAATGCTACGACAACCACAGAAGAAGTCTTGGAACAAGGGGGGTTTACAGTATAGCGCTTGGAATGTAAACTCGCCATTTTTTTTCTCAAAGAAAAAAATGATGGCAGTGAGAGAAATAAATAACTCACAACCAAGTGTATTGAGCTTCTCAGGAGAAAACACTTCCAAAGTGACTTTCATAATAAGTTGTCATGAAAAGCACTAAATAGAGTGAACGTCTGAAAGCTACAATTATACTCCACTGAGAAATCAGCAGAGATACAGAGATACTAATTTTTCAAGAGTGTTCAGCAGCGAATTCTACTTACAGTTTTGGAAAGAACAAGTTCTTAGTGATTTCATGTTTTGTTGCTTGTTTGTTTTTTAAATTACAGCCTTTGTGTTGATACACCTTTGACCCCCCCCCCCCCCCCCAAATATTATTTTTAAAGTCAGTGTAGAAAAATTTCCTTAAAATGAGGATTTGGCATAAATAATGGAATGGTTTGATTTGTTCTGTCAGATAATAGAAGCTGTGCTCAGAGCCACATTCTTACACCCTCTACCCCTTCTTCCAGCGAGCGATGCATTTTCACACTTTCATGGTATACAATCCCCGTGTCCCAAATCCCTTAGCCTCAGATCAACTGACACATAACAACAAAAAAGTAAAAATAAAAACAAAAAAAGCACAATTTACAACAACACCAATATCCCTCCTTGTAAAAAAAAGAGACTCAGCAAAAACACAAAACTAACCCTGTTCCCCCCACCCCCGGGCCTGGAAAAGAAACAACCCTTTGAGAACAAAAAGTTCATCCCGAGTACCTCATACTCATTAAAACAGCCATCACCATCAAGCTCTAACTAACTTGGGCCCTGCGAGTGTGTGGCTGAGTCTGGTGGGACATGCAGAAATACTCTGTGGCTGGGAGGGGAAGAAGTTCACATAGACATATCCACATATCCTCCACATCCACTGTCCTCCCACTTGATGATTATGTTCCTTCCATAAGTCCGGCTGCGCGTGCACTGCCATTGTATTATGCATGAAAAATAAAACCAACAATCGTTGATAACCTTTGACCTGGGCTGCTAATCCCTTCTCACCTCTTGACAGGCCTAGAAAAATTAGGTAATGCAAAGATTTATTGTCAGTACCAACAGGCCTTTCCTGTGTGTGCTAAGATCCTCTGAGTACCATGATGTTGGCAACAGGGACCCACTGAGTACCGCAGGTATGTTTATAGGGATCCATTGAGCAACAGTCTCGGCAACAGTCCCAGTAGAAAAACAAACTTAGGAACAGCCGGGCCAAGTCCAGGGATAATACTGGACCAGCCCAGTCCTGAGGCATGCCATTAAACACGGGTCGTGAGACCTTCATGCAGAGTTAGGTCAGGAGATGCAAGCTCAGAAAACACACGCACCATCAGTGACAAAATCTGTCTCTGGGCAAACAGCCATATTTGTCTTCCAGCGTCACCAATGAGCTTTCAGCACCATTTTCCTCATCCAGCTAACACATGCTATACCTGTACATAACACCAGCCCTCAGAATGTTCCATGACCCAAGAGCTACAAGACACTGATAACCTCTCTACATCAACACATCCCAGCCTGAAGTTCGCAAATAGACGAAAAAATCCCATCACTGTGACATTTCCTTCCTGAGAAAAAAGATGTAGGATGGTAGCGTAGAAGAAGAGGCACTATCGGATGTTGCTTCTTCTTCTTCTTGTGCGTTCGAAATAATAACTTTCACAGGCTGAGATCTGCTCTCGGAATAAAGGATCCTCGTTCCATCTCACAGCTTGCCATCTGGTGTAAGTGACGGGCCAGACACTGAGGACTTGCAAACACAAACACACCGCAAGTGTCTCTATCACTGTCATATATATATGTATACGTAAAGTTCGATGGTTTCTGTGCACGAACATTCGGCTCAGTGGAAGAGAACAAAACAATTTTTCTTTTGTGCGATTGAGTAGGTGCAGTATGACGCAGCTTTCTTCTTTATCGGTTATCGCAACACTTTTTATGTCACTAGTCGTACTTCCCTGGTTTTCTTACCCCCAACAAGAAAATGACCAACGATTGGCCTCAGGAGGTGTGACGATGAGATAAAAGAAGGAGGAGAAGTTTTACGTGGCAATCGGTGGCCTCCTGGCTACAAGTAGACTTTGTTGGACTTGGTGACAGGTTTGGTCTCCGTCCCGGAGTTGGTCTTGCTGTTCTTTACGTTGACCACGTAGTTCATCTGTTTGGGCGTGAGGCTGGTGTGGTCTGTGTGGAAATACGGGTTGTCGCCCGACGACAGCCGGTTACGGCCCCGCTGCAGTGTGGAGCACTTGCTGTCGTAGAACACGCTGTCTCGGTCACGGGAGTTGCGGCAGGACTGGAACTTGAAGCCGATGATGAAGCCGCTGACCAGGGACAAGATGATGGAGACCACGACAGCGATGACCAGGATCTCCACCTGTGTGCCACCTGTCTTGGGGGACTGGCTGCTGGCTCCTGTGTTACCTTCTGGGGGCACAGAATAAGAGAAACATTCAGACAAATGACGCAGTATGACCCGAACTGAAGCATAAACACACATAAGTTGTTTCTGTATATTTTCAAAATTGACTCCACAGTCCACACAGCACTACAGGCTGCAACGTTCCCGCTAAAACAACAGAGGAGGTAAGAACAGCTTGCAAAACTTTGCCACAGCAAGTTGCTCATAGGATTTAATTTAAAAATCATTGCAAGCCCCCCCCAAAAAAACCCCCCAAAAACCAAAAAACAAACAACAACAACAAAACAACCCAAACATATTAAGAGAAAATGACAACTACTTAAAGACATTTTGCACAGAACAGTACTAGATAGAAATAGGTGGCGAAACAGGACTGTATGCCCCATCAATGAACCTACATGCCTCAAAGACAGGAGCAAATGGGTGACACTGATATCATATTATTAGACACTGCAACCAAAAATTTCATCTACGATAATAATTACAACAAAAACACCACCTGCATCAGTTATACGAACACAATACAGCACACGTTACAAAAATATGAATTATTTACAACAACAAATATAACCTGAATATTATATTGTTGCCAGAAGACCTCAAGAATAATGGTATAATTATAATGACACTAATAATGATACTAAAAATGATAACACAAAAACTAATGATAATTAATAATAATAAAGATAATGATGATGATGATGATGATGATGATGATAATAATAATAATAATAATAATAATGATAATAATAATAACAATCCATAAATTCCCGAGTACAAAAACCCCCCAGTAAAACACCCGAAAACCCAAATACCAAATGTGTAAGGAATTACAATGTTTAAAAAATAAGAAAGAAACCTGCACACACCACCAAAAAAATGACAGATATTGCAAACGTGCAAATAAAAGACATGCAAACATAACATTCATGTGCATAATATAATATGGCGGGAAAGGGAAAAATGTCTCAAAGATCAAAGCTGGTACCCTGTTTACAGTCAGATTTAGATAAGCTTACAAATGAGTTTTTCATACATTTACACACGACTGCGTGAAACACAAAGCATGAAAGTACCTCAGCTGCCTCTTTAGACTGTAGCATTATAAAAATGACATCCGTTGTTTGAAAAGGCTAAAGATCAGGAAAGCAGCAGACATATTTTTGACAGGGAGTCAGAATGGTATTTGATACGTCTCTATCTAGCAAAAGAATGGTTTTCTGATAAGTCAAAGTGGTGTTTGATATGCGGCAGTGAGGTAAAGGAATGTTATCTATTCCTCTTTCTGGAAAAAAACAACCCATACCAGAGTCGTTGATCTTACTCGTGAAATAGGAAATTTAGATTGGCAAACGTGAAACATTATATTTCTGGGCTTACAGTTATCTATTTGGGAGCACCGTGCAGAAGATACGCTAAGGCGCACGGTGCGTTGGCGTAATTTCAACTTTGACAAAAACAGCGCACGAACGTTTGTGTGCATTTGAAAGAGCTATAAACTATAAACGGCTATTAACGCTTATATTTGACAAACCAAAATGCATTCGTGCACATTTTATCTTATCACTGTAATAACTTCTTTTCACGCTTTGAGGTGGAATCGCCGAAAGTTGACAGCACAGGTGCATTTGTAATGGGAACAAACTGGTTAAAGGTTATAAGGCGATTTGTGTCTGAGCATGATGTGTGTATGG